CAACAAACGTGCAACAACCGAGCAAAGAGTCTAGTTGCATTAGGATTCTATTGTTAATAGGATTCTAAAAATAGTTAGTTTTTTTACTATAAATACATGTAATCCTCCCCATTTGTAAGACACGATTTACATATAAGATACAGAGGAAAGCACGAAAAAATACAAAGGCAAAGCTATTGTAAACGATTTGAAAAGGAAATAAAAGGTAGCATCTTTTTTTACATTGATTCGTTCATTTCTCGCATGTGCATGTTATTTTTCTTGAGATTTGGTTTGAATAACCCATAGCGTGGGTTGCGCTGATGACCAAAAAGGGGTGGGGTTTCGAAATTTCGAACCTAGATCTACTCCCGAGGTATGTTCATTTTTTAAAGTATTTAATATTCCCCCTAAGTCAATCTTAATCTTTAATTTACCTTGAAATTTACTTTTATATTAATTTTGTCCCTAATATATATATTTTTAATTATATTTTTTATTTATTTAATATATTCCTTTTTTGTTTATATTATATTATTTTTATTATATATATCTTATATCATTATATATATATATATATATATATATATATATATATATATATATATATATATATATATGTATTAATTTTTCTCCATTTACTATGTATATATATTTTTTCTTAATATTATATTTTATACGTTTTTATATATATTTTTTCTTAATATTCTATTTTTGTTTTTATTTATTTATATATATTATATTTTTACTTTATTTTTTTCTATTATTTTTTTCTTAATATAATGTATATCTTTATTTTTTATTTGTTTTACTTCGTATTATATATTTATTATTTTTATTTATTTTAGTAAATACTACTTTACATGTATACATTATTTTTACTCCTTTTTAATTTCTTTTACCTTTTTATTTTTTTACCCCATTAATATTTTCCCTTTATCTGTGTCTTTGTTTTTTAACATTTTATTCATTTTGTTTATTTTTATTTTTTTATTATTTTTTACGTGTTTTGTTATTTTCCATTTTTTCTTGTTTTTATTTATTATTCTCACGTTTGCACACTTGCTATCCTAATTCGATTTTATACTCCGCTATGAGTCAAACGTTTTTATCTTTTAAGGGTATTCAAATAAATCAATTGTAAGTAATTTGAATCGGGTCTGTTAAATTTTAATTTAAATTTCGAATTTTTGCAACTAAGACAATTGGCAAATTAATTGGTACCGAAAGGGAGGTTCAATGATGCTAATCCTTCTTTGACCGTAACAGACTCCCGAACCCGACACATTTCTGGTAAAAACGCAAATCAGGTAAGATGGTGTCCGACCCACATAGATTCGTTTTAAAATGGTCGGTGGCGACTCCAATATACATTTTTCAAGTTGAAGCTCAATTCCTGGGCCCAACCGAAAGACGGGTACGAGGTCAAACTTGTGGTCGATACGAGAGAACACCTCTGCAACGCTAGTTGAGTTGGAGATCATGCACAATTGCACACCGCTCTCAGCACCTTGGCAAGATCACCACCCGTAACAACGGTTGGAGGCTGGTAGTTAATGCCACATTTGAATCCAGTAGGACACCAGTCAACAAATTGGATGGTGCGCTTGGTTTTGATGGTTGCCACGGCAGCATTGACATCCTTAGGCACCACGTCACCTCGGTAAATCAAGCAGCAAGCCATTTACTTGCCATGGCGAGGATCACATTTTGCCATCATCGACGAGGGCTCAAATGCACTGGTAGTGATCTCTGCAACGGATAGCTGCCCATGGTAGGCCTTCTCAGCTGAGATGACAGGAGCATAAGAAGAAAGCATGAAGTGAATCCTGGGGTATGGGACAAGGTTGGTCTGAAATTCAGTGACATCCGCGTTTAAGGCACCATCAAACCTCAAGGAGGCAGTCAGTGATGATATATACCTGAGAAACCTGAATCATTAGTTGTAAGAAAATTACTGAGCATTCCCTGTTACAAGTAGATCACTTAACAGATGAGGCAATGAAATATACCTGAGAAACCAGGCGGTTAAGGTTGGTGTAAGTGGGTCGTTCAATGTCGAGAGACCGCCTGCAAATGTCATAGATGGCTTCATTATCAAGTAACACAGCAACTTCAGTGTGTTCCAAAAGGAAATGGGTGGAGAGGACACTGTTATAGGGCTCAACAACAGAGGTTGAAACCTGTGGTGAGGGATACACAGTGAACCCCAGCTTGGACTTCTTTCCGTAGTCCACTGAGAGGCGTTCCAGGAGAAGGGAACCAAGTCCAGAACCAGTGCCTCCCCCCACAGCATTAAAACAAAGGAACCCTTGCAGACCAGTACAGTTATCAGCCAGCTTGCGGATGCGATCCAAGGAAAGATCAACAATCTCTTTCCCAACTGAGGAAAACAGATGGTAGTTAAAGCAACCAGCATTCCAAGCTGCAAGAGCAAAATACAAAACTGAAGATGACAAGAAATAATACTGGTATAATGGCCACGAACAAAGTTGTTAGCCGCATCCTCTTTGCCACTAATGAGCTGTTCAGGGTGGAAGAGTTGGCGGTATGTTCGAGTCCTAACCACATCAATTACAGTGGGCTCAAGATCTACAAAAACAGCACGAGGAACGTGCTTTTCGGATCCTGTTTCACTAAAGAAGGTGTTGAAAGCATCATCACCTCCGCCAATGGTTGTATCATTCGGCATCTGACCATCATGCTATATAGAACACAATACAAGTTTTAGAAATATTATAAAAGTAAAATATAGAAAGAGCCATTGACAAGTAAACAATTTGTTGTTATAACATAGGGCGATTATGGGAGTAAAGTGATCACGAAGTGAAAAGAGAGAAAAATCAAGACTTCGAAGATGTATATGGAAAACACAATAATCAAACAAAATTTGATGTCTATTCTACAACAATGGCGAAATTACTGAAAACTCGTAATAAGTCTACACAAAAATCATTAGAACAATCAGCAGAAAACTAAGAAGAAATCTGGGAAATTGAAAATTTACCTGAATGCCGTGCTCAAGACAATATAAAATCGTATATTTTTTTAATTCTAATTGTAGAATAAGAAAGACCATATATAAAATAATTATTTTTAAATTAAAAAAAAATCTTTTATATATTTTTTAAATAAATTTTACCAAAAAAAAGGAGAAAGTGAAATTTTACTCCAACTGAATATTTAACTCAAACTATATTTTAACTTATATTATTAAAATTTTACGAGCAAATTAAAAGTCATACTCATACTTCTTAACATATGAAATATCATAAATACTCTCTAAAATTTGCATTTTAATTTAAGCATACTAATTAAGATTACATTGGATACTTAATAAAGAATGATGGATAACCTATTACCATGTACAAATAAAAGTACAGAAATGCTCTTATCCATTTTTAACGAATAAAAAAAGTTAAAAACGTATGGTCATTTACATTGGCAGATCAAATGTTGTTGTCATGTGGTTGATACTTAATATATTTGGATACTTTTATTTTTCCTACTTTGGAATGTTTCAAGTGGGTGTTTATCTATCAAAGATAAGATTTATAATGAAAATTTTCCATAATAAATAAATTTCAGCGCTAGATTTGAATAAAAATCATTTGGTAAGGACTCTTCAAAATGGATTATTTTATATACTATATATAAAAGATTTATTTAATATGCAAACAATATAATATATAAACTTCACAATAATATTTATTTGAATTTATTATATGGTCTTAATAGTAAAAGAGAATGTTGTTCTCTCTAAAGGTCTCGAATTCAAACAGTTGTGTATATGACGTATGCGCGTTCATTGTCGATTGACTAAGAAAATTCTAAATATATATTACCTTGTAATCACTCTAAGATATTAAAAAAAATGTACATTTAAATGTTATCAAACCCTAAATCATAGCCCATTAATCCTAAATATTAAATTCTAGGATAAACTACACATTTAGTACCTATATTATTAGTTTTGATCTGTTTTAATACCTAAACTTTCAAAAAAAATCAAAATTATACTTAATGTTTAGTTTTTATTTCATTTTAGTATATTATCGTTAAGAACTTAACGACACTGTATTTTTATGGGTAAATTACATCATTCGTCACCCAACTATCTTTTCACTCCTATTTTGGTACAAAAGTTTAATTGTCTTTTAATTTAACTACTCAACTTTCAAGTCATTCCTATTTTAATCACTCTAATTTATTTTATTAATATTTTTTTGTGTTATGACATTTTATTATTACTTTATTAATATATAATTAAAAATAAAAAATCAAATTTGAAAGTTAGAGTGATCAAATTAGGAGTAATTTGAAAGTTAAGTAATTAAATTAAAATTAAATTTAGTAACCAAATTATGAGTGAAAAGATAGTTGAGTGATGAATGATGCAATTTATCCATAAAAAATTTGCAATACAAATTACTCATTAAATTTTTAACGGCAAGATACTAAAACGAAACAAAAACTAAACTATGATTTAAAAAAATAAAAAATTTAGATACTAAAACATATCAAAATTGATAGTTCAAATATCAAATGCGTAGTTGACCCTAAATTCTAAATATAAACTCTAAAATATATAACTTGTAAAAAAATCAATGATCTTTAAAATATAGTATATAAATAAACTAGAATGAATTTTAAACATCAAAACAACATATTTTTACATTTTTCATAAAATTAAAAATATTTTAAAAAACAAATTGTTGAAAAAGAAAAACTAAGGGGATGTTTGTTTACTTCAGCATGATTAAGCGCTGAATGATTCAAATGTTAAATTATTTAGAGGCTCTGTATGAATTAGCTTTGAATGTGACATGCTGTTTGATAATGACTCTGAATCATTCAGAATGTACTTCTGTGCGGAATCATTTAACACTGTTTTGCTGAATCAGTTAGCACTAAATCAGTTAACACTGAATCATTCAAAGGCGAGAAATAAACAGTCTAAATATTGAACGGTTCAACATTAAACGCTGAATGATTCTATTCAGAGCCAAACAAACAGCCCCCTAAGTCGCCATATTAGCATTCTTTCGGTCCTTTAGCAATTCAACTACCTTTCTCATGGAAGGCCTGTTCATGGGGAAGGAAGAAGTACATATAAGAGCCACATTTAAAACTCTCTCAATCTCCTTGAAATCAGACGGTGATGGGTTCATCCTTGGATCAACAATCTGAGCTAGATTTTTGCAGCCATTGTCATCTTCGCGAGACGACGATAGAACAGCCTCTGTAACCCACCTCACAATATCTTTGTTCTCACCAAATGATGCATCATTTGGCCTTTTCCCGGTAATCAATTCTAGCAGCACCACACCAAAAGAATACACATCACTCTTTTCCGTCACTTTAAGCGTGTATCCATATTCTGTAAGGTTTCAAAAAAAAATCATTTTGTTAATTTTAAGGAAATTTTTAGGAAAGGAAAATTTGGGACTGTCTGACCTGGGGCAATATAGCCATGTGTCCCAGCGACGCGAGACATGGCGCCGTCACGGTTCCCGGCTTGCATGTGCAACCTTTTAGCCAATCCGAAATCCGCCACGCGTGGTCGCATCTCCTCGTCCAACAATACATTGTTACTCTTCACGTCCCGATGCACGATAGCCGGCACGCAGTCGTGGTGCAGATAAGCTATCCCCTGAGCGGCGCCGATTGCTATCGTGAACCGCTTGGGCCAATCCAGTAACCCAGCGCTCTTGTCCCCATGCAGAAAGTCACCCAAAGCCCCGTTCTCCATGTATTCGTAAACTAAAAGCCTTACGTCTTCATCGCTGCAACACATTATCAGTTTCACGATGTTGCCGTGTCGGATCCGACCCAATGTCTCGGTTTCAGATTTAAAAACCGTATCAGTCTCAGGTTTAACTTCCCATAGTCTCTTCACTGCCACGGTTTGACCCTTTTTAAGTTCAACCTTATAAACTCGACCCGAACCACCCATTCCAATTATATTCTCATCCTTTAGAAACGGGAATATTTCCTCCTCGTTAAACCCGACTCGTTGAAATACGGTGACTGTATACGGGCGTCGGGTTTTGGTTCCGAACTTGGAACGGGTCCTAAAAAACCAAACGAGCATCCCTACAAGGAGGAGAAAACAGGACGCTAGAATAGCCGCAACGTAAGAGGTGGAGGGTCCGATTTTCTGGCACGTAGGAAGTGGTTTCAAATCCGGGCTACAAAGATCCGGATTACCCAATAAACCCGAAATGAAATATTCGTGATTAAAGCCCGAAGGTACTTTACCGTTCAACTGATTCCACGAAAGGTTAAATTTGTTTAGCGTCAGCTTCGTTAATTCCTCTGGAATTTCGCCGCTTAGTAAATTGCCGGACAAATCAAGGTAAGTTAAAGCCGGTAAGCTACCGAGATCAGGTGGAATTTCTCCAGTGATTCGGTTTCTCGCCAAGTTCAACTCGGTCAACCGAGTCCACAAACTTACTGAGCTTGGTATCTTCCCTGTTAACTCATTGTCATGCAAATCAAGCCTTTGCAAGTTCAAATCAGTGATACAGTACGGCAGTTCACCAGAAAATCTATTTTGCCTCAATCTGATTTGTGTCAAATTCACCAATCCACAAATTTCGTTGGGAATCTTGCCGGTAAAATTATTACCTGAAATCCTAAGAGAGGCTAGCTGCTGAAGGGATGACATTGAAGGAGAAATCGAACCTTCAAAACGATTGTTTTCCAATTCAAGGAACTGAATTAAAGGGAGACCCCAGAATTTTTCAGGCACGCAACCTGAAAGTGCATTATCAGCCATCCGAACATAATTCAACGAGTGACATTCGCCGTAGGATTCCGGTATGTTCCCCGAGAACTGATTCTTTAAAACGACAATGCGTTGAAGCTTCTTTTTATAACAAATAAATGGCGGTAATTCCCCGATAAAGTTGTTCATTGAAACATCGAAATCTTCTAACGGAGAAAATTTACCGAGGTTGTATGGTAACTCTCCGGTGAAACTGTTGTTAAAGAGCTTTAACTGCACAAGATTTTGATTGGAAGCTAAAACATCCGGAATTCCTCCGGTGAAATAGTTGTCGTTGAGATTCAGTGACTCGAGAGACAATGCAGCGACTTTCTCCGGTAAATTACCGGTTATACCGTTTTGTGACACGTCGAACTGACGCATAGCTGTCAGGTTAGCTAAACTCTCCGGTAATTCACCTGTTAGATAATTCTGGTAAAGTTCAAGGTTCTCCAGATTCTTTAACATTGATAAACTTTCTGGAATTTTGCCGCTCAAAAAGTTAGTCGATAAATCGAGGTTCTTTAACGAAACGAGATTTCCAATCGAAACTGGAATTTCTCCGACGAGATTCGAGCTTGTAATCCATAAAACTTCGAGGTTAGACAAGTTCCCGATCTCGCTCGGCAAATGACTTGCTTTAAAAGGATTGTGACCGAGTTCCAAGTAGGTTAACTCAGTCAGATTAGCTAAAAATGAAGGAATCTCACCGTTGAGTAAGTTCCCGCTAAGTGATAGAACTTTGAGAGACTGAAGCCTTGCGAAGCTAAGAGGAATATCGCCGGTGAAGTTGTTGTTAAAAAGCCGAAGAACTTCCAAGTTCTCTGACGGGAAATCCGGTACCTCTCCAATGAACAAGTTTTCTGAGAGATCAATCTCCTTGAGATGAGAACATGGAGAGAGATCCCGAGAAGAAAGTGAACCGTTGAGGTTATTCCTAGCAAGGGAGAGAGAACGCAGGGTCCGAACGAGACAAAACCCGAACGGGAAACCGCCTGAGATACCCAACCCAGAGAGATCAATCGAAACAACAGTTTGGTTCCGAGATTCGCAGGTAATGCCGGTCCAATGACACGGGCTTTGATCGGGCGTCGCAAAAACCCAGTCTTGGAGATTTCCATCCGGGTCGACGAGTTGATAATCCTTGACCCGAGTCAAGATTTGGGTGTCCCCATTAAATGAAAACGCTGAAGGAAGATCAAGAGAAAACCAGAAAACGAAAAGTAAAGTTTTGAACTTTGAGTTCCTCATTTCAAAGCAAAAGGAGAAAACGGTGGAAAGGGCATGACTTTGATACGAGGTTTCGGATTTTTGGAGATTTCGTGAGAGGGATTCAGTAAATGCCGGAGAACGAAACTGCTGCATGAAGATGGTGAGAAATACGAGGTGGAGAAGTTTAAAAAGTAAGATTACGAATTTAGGAATTTCTCAAAGAGGTTCACATGGAAAGCAACGTTGAAAAACTACACTGCTGTTTAAGGCTTTTCTTGGTATTTGAAAACGACATCTTTTATTTAATTCGAGAAATTAAGAGTTTGATATTTAAAAAAATGATTATGTAATGCAATTAAGAATTTGGATTTTGTTTAGTAAAAATCAAGTGGTCATGATTAAAAAATTATTATTATTATTTTAATATTTGAGTTTGAACATCATAAATATTAAAAATTTAAGAATTACTTTTAAATAAATAATATATTTTACTGACCTTATGTTTATAAAAAAAAATTATAAAGTACTAAATAAATATTAAATTTTTTTTCTGAAAACTTAACTTTTTATGGAAACTGTTACTATTTAATAATTACACTAAAGAAATATTACTTTTTTCTTACGATTTCCTGCCAAATCTAGTTCCAGTTTAGATTAGACATTATTATATTGAAGAATTAAAAAAAGTAACTAATAGTAATTTTGTTCACATTATATTACCTATATTCAGTGAAAATGATAATAAAGAATAAAATTATGAAAATCAAAATGATTTTAGCATTTGGATTAATATGAATTTTTAAAGTCATATATTTTTATATGTCAATTTAATTTCTAGATTTAATTTCCTTTTTTACTTTGATAGGATTTGATCAATGTTATTGATTTAACAAATACAATTAACAATTATGTAAATAAAAATTAAATATTTTAATGAAATTATGAAGCCTATTACGACAACATACTATGAATGATACGAAGTCTATTGGGTGTTTCTATACGTATAATCTGGTTATTATCTTTTCCATCAACACTATTACCAATGTACATACCCTCAAGGCTTACGGATTAAGCCGAGAAACTCGTAATCATACTTTTAAACTTCTCAAAAGGCTTACTCACAACTTGCAGCATCATAATCATCCACAACAAAAGTTGAACTAGAAAACTTGTCAAGAGCTTTTAATCCCTCAACGATAAAATAATGCACGCCAAGGAGAAGAAGATGAAGGAGCTTCCAATGCTGAACAGAACGTCAACATAAGTTGACAACTACTCGCTTGAACATCTCAGAGGACATAGTCTCCACCTCACTATATAGGTTTAAATGCACCATTATTTTCTAAACTATACTATTTGTATGAGTTATTTTTTAAAATATTTTTTAAGAGTTTTGTTCACTTAACTTTAAATTGTTACCACTTTTGTCTTAAATGGTTAACATTGTTAGAAAAAAATTCATAGGCCAAACAAAACATACCACGTTAACTTTTATTTTTTATTTTTTATCTAAATAAATAAACTACCCAAATTATCCTTCTTTTTCCATCAACGCCACCCTCCTTCCTCAATCCCAACTCCCTTGTAAATTAACGACCCACCCAAACCTCCACCGTCAAATCCTCTCTTTCTCGCAACATCCCTCTTTTTTCTTCTTCACTCTATAATCTCTCCTAGCCTCCAAGTGAACTCAGTTTCTTCAAAAGCATTCTCTCTTTCCTTTGTGACCTTCCATAGATGCTCGAAAGCTTCACTTCTTAGCTTTATTCTTCCTTTCACTCTTTTACTTAGCCAAATCTTTCGTCCCTGTAAATAAATTCTCATCAATTGTGGCTTAAACGCCAACACTTCACTTTATAATCGCATCTTTATAGCCGATTTAGTTAATCCAGTTGGATTCCACTCACTGACAAAAACCCATATTCGGATTCCCCCATCTTGTACGGTACGCCTCCATTTAAAGCTCAAAATTTCGACTTGACATCTGTGAATTTAATATTTTGGCTAATAACTTGTTGTTACTGCGTGATTTTAGTCCTCGTGGTGAAGTTTTTGAAATCATGTTCAATCCTCATGTGATTTTTGTTGCTTTTGTTAGTGCAATTGAATTGTTTTCAACTCCAAAAGACTTCATAATCGATGATAAAGCTAAGTTGATTAATGACAATTGAATTGAAAGTTGCAAGTACTTAACATCACATGTTTTAGAGACTGTTCATAGGGTTAATGTTGGTGGACTGAAAATTGTTTCTTTTAATGATTCTTTATGGAGAACTTGGATCCCTAATGATGGCTTTCTCGTGTTCAAACCTGTTGCGAAGAAAGCCGACACCACTCATGTATCGAATTATCAGAATGACGACGCGACCCGTGAAATTGTCACAGACAATGCTTATATGACTGCACAAGAAATGAACTGAGATAATTCAACGTTGAATGGGGATGCTGGGGAAGGAAGGGTTTGACGGTGGAGTGGGGTGGGCCGTTGAAATAGGGCTATTTTAGGGATGATGTTTTTTTTTTGTTTTTTTTTTATTTTTTTGGATAAAAAATAAAAATTATAGATGATGTGGCATGTTCTGATTTGTTAATAATTTTTTTATAGTATTAACGATTTGAGTTAAAATAAAAATGATAAAATTCTTTAAAAAATAATTCAATATAAATTATATAATTTAAAGTACAATGGTACATTTAAACCCACGTTATAAACCAGAGAAAAGAACTGGAGGCACTATATTAAAAGTAATGACGAAGTAAAAGGGGGATAACGAGACATGAGCATAATCTCAAACAGTGGTACGATGAATGATATAGTGAAATTGGCAATAAAACTTAGTAGAACAAGAAAATAAGAAAGGGGGGAGAGATACCAACGTAGAATAAGATTGTGTTTGTGTTTATTTATTTATTTATTTGTTGAAGATTTTTATGTTTAGCCCGTGTTATATACATTTTTAATACCATGTTCGAATAAAAATGATCTCTTAACTATTGAACACTGTTTTATTGAGTCGCTTAACTATTAAAAGTTATAAAATGATCATTTGATTATAGGAAGTTACTTTGTTAAGTCACTCGACTATTAAAAGTTACAAAATTGTCACTCGATTATTCACTATGTTCCAAACTTGTCCTTTTCAATTAAAAAATTAACGGTTATCTGAATTCGATGCTAACATGCTCATTGAGATACGATAGTTATTTGAGATTATAAAATAATATTTTATCATATTTTAGTCAATAAATTAACGTATAACTCAGATTGTCGTCAAATTTTTAACGAAAATGAATGAGTTTGGAATATAATGAATAGTCATGTGATCATTTTGTAACTTTAAATAGTCAGATGACTTAATAAAGTAATATCTTATAGTCATGTGACTATTTATGTACATTACCCTTATATTTCATGGTGTTTGTATTAAATCCGTTTAATATTCTTGAACATGTTCATTTAACGGTCATAAATATATTCACTTATATGTTTGTCAGCATGTTTGTTTATTTTTTTTCCTTTTTTTGACAAGCCAAAGCAAGAAGGTGAAATTATGTCACTAATCTTTAAGTTCCTTAGGCTTTACACTTTAAACTTCAAAATTCAATATGTTTTCAATTTACGTGATGTCTTCACCAATATTTAAAATGTAAAAAGAAATGAGTATTGGGTAGATAATCTTATAAATGAGTCGATAAACGAGTCAATAAACGAGCTTATTCATGAACATAAACAAATTAGACATACAATTGTTAATGTTCGTTCATTTATTAAATTAACATAAAAATTTATTAATTCTCAATTATTTAACATAATAAATGAACATTAAACAAAATGTTATTTAAATATTTTTTAATTTACATTTTTAAGGAGAAATAGGGTTTCATGCGGCTTAAAAAATGAAAAACAAAGGGCTGAAAAAGCGGCTTATATACTTTGTTTCTTCATGGGTAAAATATGGCAAAATCAACGAGATAATGCGTTGAAATTTTTTTTTCACGAGATAGTGCCTTCGCCAGATTAATTGCTCAGATGGGGTGATCTCTACAGTCCCCATATAGGTCGCCAGGTGCTCCGGGCAACGTCCCTGTTAGATGGGGTAGGTCGCCATGCACGCCCAGCGACCTACCAGGTCGCCATGCAATCCATGCAGCCCCCAAAGGTCGCCATGCAGTCCATGCTAAGAGTCTTCTCAAGTTGCTGCCTCATCACTCCTTTGGCAAATGCCTGAACAATGTTGGTGGTTTAGACATGGCCCTTTCCTTCTACCCTGAGTGTGCAAATGATCCCAAAAACCCAAAGTGGTGGGACCATTTACATTGCGTCATGTCTCATTACAAATTCGTCCTCGCAATTGAAAATACTGTTACAGAGAGCTATGTGACCGAGAAGCTATTTTACGCTCTGGACTCTGGTGCAGTACCTATCTATTTTACAGCAAAATGAGTGTTGGACTGCATGGCGACCTTTGGGGACTGCATGGACTGCATGGCGACCTACCCCAATCTCACAGGGACGTCGCCCGGAGCACCTGGCGACCTATATGGGGACTGTAGATATCACCCCATCTGAGCAATTAATCTGGCGAGGACACTATCTCGTGAAAAAAAAAATTCAGCGCATTATCTCGTTGATTTGGCCGGTAAAATATATCATTTTTTATTGAATTTTATTATCTCTTTTATTTTATCTTTTTTACTTTTAATTTTTTTAATTTACTGACTGAACTTTCAAATTTTTCATATTTTGGTCACTCTGAATTATTTTATTATTATTTTGACATGATGTGACCTTATTATTATTATTATTATTTAATATACAAATAATATAAAATAAATAATAAAAAATAAAAATTCCCGATAACACCAAAATAATAATAAAATAATTCAGAGTGACCGAAACATGAACAATTTGAAAGTTTAGTGAGTAAGTTGAAAAATCTAAAAGTACAATGAGTAAAATAAAGAGAAAGAAAATTTCATTTGATTATCAAGAAAACTTAAATCCTACATGAATGCTTCCATCGTAAGGAACAATCTCACCTCAATGGCGAGCAAGACGCCTTCAAAGCCTAGAGAGCGGGTTCTCTAAGCCATGATTCCCCCCATTTTCAAATCAATACCGATTGAGTCTCAAAATTCCTAAATACTTTTGG